TATAAAGGAACACTATTTTTATTTCATTTTTCCAGAACTGCAGTTACTTGAATAGCAAAATGAGAAAAAGAAAAAAGACACAATGCAATATAGAATACAATACTAAACACGAAGAAAAAGTCTGCAAGGAGTTTTTTTTTGTAGAAAACTAAAAAGCAAACTTAAGTTAAAGGTAAAAGATTCTTTTAAAATGTTAAATTAATTTCCTTTTTTTTGTTCTGATGTTTTAAAAAGTCCATTTTGAATCAGAAGTGTGCCATTGCAACACATTTTCATTGTCTCATTTTCTCATGTATGGTTTTGAAGTATTTCACATTTTGTCTTAAACAATATTCTGGTCAAGTTTCATTTTATTGTCCACATGAATGCTGTTCACTTCTGTCCCAACTCAATTTCATTTCTGTGAAAGATATTGAATTTAAGGTTTATTTTATGAATGTTGTCTCCTAACACAAATGAAACAAATTTGGATCTACAGAACTGAAAATTAAAGGAGAACTTATGGTTAGGTAAAATAGAAATAGGCTAGACCTATGGGTCAGTGCTATGGATGTTACATACTACAAGCGGGCTACATGCACTTAGCTTGCTTTTTTGTTTGTTTGTTTGTTTGTTTGTTTGTTTTTTGGGTTAACCTGGCATTGCACAGGGGTTACTCCTGGCTCATCCACTCAGGAATTATTCCTAGCGGTGCTTGGGGGACCATATGGGATGCTGGGATTCGAACCAGGTCGACCGCAAGCAAGGCAGCCTCTCTACCTGCTGTGCTATCATTCCAGCCCCTTAGCCTACTTTTTCAGGCAACTCAAAATCAAAGACCTTTGTCTTCAGAAGTAGGAGTGTATTTCAAATTTTCTAAACAATTATTACAGGCATCTCATATAATGCTCAGTTTCATTCTGAGATGTAAGCGCTACAGCGTCAGAGTCCACTTTGCAAATTTGAACCTCTTGATTAGTTCTTTGTTCTAGGGCCTGTCAAAAGTCTAACATCAGCTTCAGAGTTTTAGATAGTCATTAAATCAATTTTAGCTAATGGGCTGCACTTTCTCGCCCTCTGCTGGGTGTTTAAAGAAAAATCCAAACCTTTCTGCATTGAGGTCAACTTTTTTTTTTCCCCCAATGAATGCTCTTTAATATGGGAAGTAAAACAGTCGTAGTTCTATCAGAATAAAAATCTGATATGGAATGGAATTTTAATGAAACAAATGGACTGAGGTACAGACAAAGATTTCCAGAGATAAGATGACAGAAATGGAGCACAAGCTTGTCATTTTTTATTTCTCTTTTAAATGTCAAGATAATCACATTATCCAATTTAGTTATTTTATTTTATTACTTGAAGTGGAAAATAAAAGGAACCTGCTACAGAACTTTCAAATCTCTAATTGGAAGTCACAGCAATGTCATGAACTGCTTGCCATTAGATAGAAAGATTGGTGGAGATTCTCGTGCCATTAAAGACAACATTGAGTGAAATGAAGAAATATACTCAGAACCTTGTGCAATGCTGAACATACAACAGATATCCAGTATTTTTTATACATTAATGAAAATGTACTCTAAGTGACATTTTTATGAAAATTATTTCATTTCTACCATCGCCACCCTTTCTCCCTCCCAACCCCAACTTCCTCCCTTGCCCCTGCACTTCAAAGTGAACCAACTCACCAGCCAAACACCCACCAAGCATGCACTGTGGTTAGCTTGGCACTGGCACGTAATTAAAAATCATTTAAAAATGAATTCTGATTACTTCGAATTTGACTTTCATTAATGTCTTCTGCAAACTCCAGCTGTTGAGTTGGTACCCTTTTTCCATATGGGCTTTAACTTTTATAAGTTTAATTATAACTACTGCCTGTTCTGCAATTGAAATGGATTTTGACATGCACTATTCATAGAGTACAGACATTAACTCCTTTTTTAAAAAGTTACTTGTTTGTGATCAGTAACCCACATTCTCCCATGTACTTTTTCATAGCCACTTTTGAAGGTAGAAAAATCACAATGCAACTCTTCAAGCCTATGTTCTCCCTTGAACATGCATCTTATTCACCTGCCTCTGTATCTCATTCCTCTTTCCATTCTGGTGAGGCCCAAGTTCTCCTTGAACACTTTTTTCTTCTTTTTCTGTCCCCTCATATCTAAGTAAGTTTCAATAAAACTATCTTGACCCCCACACACACTCAAATCTCCCCAAAGACAATCACAATGCAAAAATATGAATAAAAAATAATATATGAACTAGTTTTGTTGTTCATGTTGCTTGGTTATGGAGTATATCAGTTTGGGGTTGGGGAGATGGGGCGAGCTTTCCAAGTAAGGGAACTAGAGGCCACTGCTGGTAATACTTGTACAGGTTCGCCCTGTGTTCAAGGTTGGGGGATCCAACTTTGCTGCTTATTCTCTGTAGAACCAGGAACGACCAGAGCCATCCCCATGTTGCTGGGGAGCCTCCAGAGTTGTATTCAGCAGTGTTGCAGGGGACCAGGTGGTTCTGGGGTTTTAACTTGGGTCCTGGCATATGCTAACCATGAAAATCTAATGCTGAACTAACTAGTGGTTAGTAGTTTATTACTATGGGGGGGGGGGGTTGGGACCACATCCAACTCCACTCATTGTTCAGGGACCATATTCAGTGCCAGGAACTAAACTTGGGTTGGCTGTACGAAAGACAAGTAACTTTTTCCCTCTACTATCCCTCTGACCCTAGCAGTATTTGTAGCTATTTTTAATGACAAGGTTAATATATGTGTACCAATCTATAATGTATTATTAAACTAGTTATGACTTTATCTCCATTTTTCAAGCAATAAAGGCATTTCGTTTTATATATCTATTATTATATGGTTTTCATCATACAGTTTCCAAATGATGAATTTTACCATTATTGCTTAGAATTTTTCTTTTAATTTTTCATATTGTTCATTAGTTTCCCTCAATCTAAGATTAGGATTTAGATTGCTTATTATATTTGCTTCTTTCCTCATACATTTACCCATCTGCTACTTGGAAAATATGAATAATGCCAATTTTAAAACCCAACATGAATTATTTATATTATTCATACCTTAAATAAGGTGAAGGAGGTAATTTACTTTTTGTTTCACATTGATGTAAAATTGGCTTATTTTTTTTCAGGCCCTTCATTTTATATTTACTAATTGTTAATTTATCATTTGGGGTTTTTTTGTGTGATCAGGCTTTAACTTGGCTCTGGCCTCAAGTATCAAGCCTGGATATGTGATGCAAAGGATCCAGCCTGGGTAGCCTTGAGCACTTGAGCACAGTAAGCACCTTACCCAGTCTACTACCTCTCCAGCCCCATATTATCACATTTCCATTGCTCTCCCATAAAAATTTGACATCAGATTCTTATGGGAACTGGCTTTTTTTCCCTCTCTGGTTTTCTTCAATATTATCTCCCTGTGAATCCAATTTTCCACCATCCCTTCATCCCTCCCACCTGAATTCATGGAGCTTCCCATATGACTATAGCATAAATTTGCTTATCATTCTCAATTTCATCCCTGAAGACACTTAGTAAAGTGGAGAAACTTGAAACTCCAGTCAACTTTGCCTTTATCTCAATCTGTATCCACCTTTTAAATCTTCCCAGGAGCTAAAATTTGCTTCCAATTTTTCTCCTCATCTTGTCATACTCTTGATTCACTTTTTCCGGTGAATTGACAGTGTTTTATCATTTACTATGTACAGGCTTCAGAAAGGAGTGAAAAGGCTTGATTTGGTATGAATAACTTTAATTTAGGAATATCTATACTACCAAACTATTTTGAAAATAAAACCAGAGAGCAGATTCTATACTATCAAGCTCTCAAGGAATTTCAGGGATAATTAGATTATACTAACACAGTTCAATGGACATCCTTTTTATATGCTTTTCTCAAGGCTGTTTTGAAAATTCCACTTAAGAGTGTTTCAATGCTACTTTGGCAGAAGACTCAGGAGACTATTGATATCTATGCAAATTATTCTTATCTTAGTTTTCCAACAAATGCTATGACTTAAGGCAGGAATATGTTTTGGGTCCTAGAATGTCCATTTAGCTTTCAAAAATGGCAGCCTTCACTTTGTCCTATGTTGTGGTATTATTTATGTCCTGCACTTTAAGTAATCCTCTTTAGTATCTGTTCTATGGTTTGAATCTCATTGCACTAAGACATATAATTCCTAGGCCTGAAAATTTTAATCTTTTTCATTCAGTCTACAATTTCAAAAGTTCCTTTATCTTATCTTATCTCCTCATATTAATTGAAATACTTTTATATTTATGGGTCTTGGACCTATCTGAATGTCTGCTTGGGCCATTGTTCAATGATGATATCTTTTGTTTGTTTTTAGGACACACCTGTCAGTACTCAAGGATTTCTCCTAGCTCTGGGCTCAGCAATCATTCCTGGTGGTTTTCAGGAGGCTATATATGGTGCCAGAAATCAAATCAGGGTTAGCATAAGAAGCAATTTACTTGAACTCCAATTATAATATATCTTTATTGACTCCAAATTAGGGGAGAAAGGCCATTAGATTTGAAATATTAAAACAGAGGAATTTGGGCCATATACATTGTACAGTGCCTTGCCTTGCCTTGCATACAATTAACCTTGGTTTGATCCTCAGCAGGACATGATCCCCCCCAAGTACCACCTACAGTGATCCCTGAGCACAGAACCAGAAGTAAGTCTTGAGCACAGTCATATACTCCAAATCACCCCACTCCAAAAGAGGGCAGAAACATGGGTGATGTGTACTGCGGTAAAATTCTAAACTTACTGGAGATGAGCCCTTATTTCTGATGGAAAATAAAACTGTTGAATCCATTAATTTACTACTGAAACTTTCCCAAAGCAAATTTATTTTCCCACAATCATTAATTTGTCATGTATACTCTATACTAGAATTCCATAAGTAATTAAACTATTGTTCATGAAGCTAGTTGATGATCAGAATTTCTCCACTATTTCAACAGTTAGTTCAGATCTAAGAGTGACTCGATTTTAGGACTTCTTCGTATGGAGGAGGAGGACCTAAGGTGCCTAAACAGGGAACATGATACACTTCAGGGTTTTGAGTTTGAAGGTGAATTCCAACAGTTGGGCTCACAGCTGCCTCTGTCCCTGGAAAGAGAAAGATGAAGACTTGTAATCTTTTTTATTGGCATTAAATGGGAGTGCACAAACTGCTTACTGGCATCTGGCATTTCCTGGACCACTGAAGCAACAGAAAATGATCTGAACCCACGTGAAAAAAAAATTACAACCATCTTACTCTCTGCAGTAATAGTCCCTACAACAAGGAACTTTGCTCCCATGGGCTGATTATAACATCATTGACTAACCCATCAAGAACTATTTACAATTTAACAGCTAAAAAGAGAAGGAATATCTTATTGCAGACTATGTAAAAGGATTCCTGTAAATACTAATGACATTTTAGCCAAAGTTCCCTTCATTCGAAATGTGAATCTCATTAAAGACTTTCAAATATTACATCAGAACTTCATTACTTTATATGATACTTACAATCCATAATGAATCCAATTAATTACTTTAAACATTTTCCTAAGATGAATAGTAAAAATGCTAAGTTGTGAAGTCTGTATACACTTAAAATAAAACAAGACTTTTTCAAATTTGGAAAAGTGCTTTACTTTTTTTTAACTTTTATTTATTTATTTTCCTTTTTTTGGCGGGGCGTCACACCCAGCAATGCACAGGTGTTACTCCTGGTTCATGCATTTAGGAATTACTCCTGGCGGTGCTCGGGGGACCATATGGGATGCTAGGAATCGAACCCGCATTGGGTCGCACGCAAGACAAATGCCCTACCTGCTGTGCTATCATTCCAGCCCCTGAAAAAGTGCTTTCAAATCAAATACCTTTCTTGATGTGGAAGGGAGGCTTCACAGCAATGTTCTGAATGTAGAGACTTTGGTAAAATGTTTGGATATGGTCAAGCTTACAAGGACTACACCAGTCATGAGCTGAGGGCCATGTGATGTCTGGGATTAAAGTCAATAGTCTGAGTACCAGCCCTTTGCATTACCTTCTTCTACTCAATCATTTTTTTATTATCATTATTATTGAAATAGGACTGTATTATAACCTTTGATTCAGAAATGTTCTTTGAAACTCAACATGTATATACTAGATGAAATTTATATTTCTGGACACTCCAGTCATTAAATACACATATACACATACAAACACATTTTCTTTTATAAGCTGGCCACCTTGAAACACCATCCACTTATTTCAATAGCTCTTTTGAAAATGTTTGATTAGTATATCCTTAAAAGACTGCTTGAGTCACAGAGAAAATTAATAGCGATCTTTTAAAAACATCTCTTAGTTTCATTTTTTGGACTGTGTCTTTAGCTGTTTCAGACTTATTTATTACATCTTCTTAAAATAATAGTAACCTAGATAGAGCCAATGTTTGCCCATCTTTGTTCTCTATTATTCCACAGGCATGTTATTCTATAAATCTATATACCTGGGGCTGGTGCAATAGTACAGTAGGTAAGGCCAAATGGAGTTAGATCCCTAGTACCTATATGGTCATTGGAGCCCCACCATGAATCAATCCTAAATGCAGAGCCAGGAGTAAGCCCTGAGCACTGTTGAATGTGGCTAGAAAACAACAACAAGAACACTATATGCCACAGATTAGTGAGAACCAGGTAGTGGTGGAAGCATGGGGACACAGCTTGGGATTGAAAATGGGACTGGAATTGTGATGCTAAGAAACCTATTGTAAACAGCTCTGTAAATCATGGTAGATAATTAAAAGGGAAAAAAAGTAGTCATAAATTCACCTTTAAAGAGGAAACTATGCCTAGGAACCATTTGACTACTTGTTCCCCTTCCCCTTTGCTGCTGTTGTAGTATTGTGATGGCCGCAAGTCACTCACTTGCTAGTATGTGGTGGTCCAAACATGTGTGAGGCTCTTAGCTGTGATGCTCACACACACCTTGGTTCTAGTGGCTGCAGATCACACACTCTGAAGGCACAAGGCATTCCAAAGAGCAGTGTCAACAGACCACATTCTGCACATGGGGCAGTAATGTAGATTGGAATCATGGATTCACCATTGTCAGGGGGTTTTATTTTGCCATGGTGGACCCTCTGTGCCCCTGACTGGTTTTGAAAGCTATTGTTAGCTGCGAGCACCACACCCACAGTGCTGGGATTTAACCCAGAGAAGTGACACGCAAGGCATGTGCCTTACCACTGAAGCGACATCTCTGTATCTTGACAGTTTTGTATCTTAAATTGAAATCCAACTATCCTGTTCATTTCCATATTGCCCCTCACTATTTTTTTTCTTTTTTTTCTTTTTTCTTTTTTTTTTTTTTGCTGCAATGGTATAGACAAGTAATTCCTACTGAAACCATAAGGACTGCAAAGTCAAATATATTGCCTATGTGACTTTTGAAAGAAAAAGTTTGTTGCTCTCTTTCTTTAAGAATTAAGATTTGGGGCTGGAGCAATAGTACAGCGGGTAGGGTCTTTGCCTTGCATGCCGCCGACTCAAGTTGGATTCCCAGCATCCTGTATGGTCCTCTAAGCACTGTCAGGGGTAATTCCCTAGGGCAGAGCCAGGAGTAACCCCTGTCCATCGCAGGGTGTGACCCAAAAAGCAAAAAAATTTAAAAAATTAAGATTTGAGGTGCCAGAGAAACAGTACAGCAAGTGGGCACTTGCCCTGCACTCCACTGGACTCTATCCTTCCCACCACATATGGTCCCTGAAGCTCACAAAAAAAAAAAAAAAACCACAGCAATGACAAGAAAAAGAATTAAATAACTGAAACGCAAGCATGAAAGTTTGTAAATCTACAACCGTACCTCATGGTGTTTCACTAATGAAAAAAAAAAAGGAAAGAAAAATAAAAAAGAAAAAGAATTAAGATTTTGATACCATTGAAGGGATTCCAAAGAGCTTACCACAATGACCAAATTATTCAAAATATACTTTATTTTAGCCAATAGTTGCACCACTGAAATCCATGTATAAAATATTCCAAATTTCTATTGAGGAGAAGGTTATGCTTAGTTGGAATAATTGGCTTTCATATATTTTTATGTTCTTGCTTTTTTATCTCACTGACTTAGAGTCAAGTATAATATTTCAATTATTAGTATAATATTTGAAGGATAGAGCTAAGGTTAGAATATGTCTCACCTTTAAATTGGGCTATTTTCTTAAGGAATTATTTAATTAATTAAACAATCTACTTCCAGGTTATTAAAAAATGCAATTTTTATGCAATAAATGATGATCATACCTTTGCCTACGTAAGCAAAAAAAAAAAATAAAATTATTAAAACAAAACTTGTCATACAGCAATTACTTGTTGAAAGTCTATTATTAATCTTACTATAAATTGTGAACGAAGTAATAGCACAGCGGGTAGGGCGTCTGCCTTGCATGTGGCCTACCTGGGTTCGATTCTTCCATCCCTCTCAGAGAGTTGAGCAAGCTACCGAGAGTATCCCAAGAGTATCCCACCCACACGGCAGAGTCTGGCAAGCTCCCCTTGGTGTATTCGATATGCTAAAAACAGTAACAACCAGTCTCATAATGGAGACATTACTGGTGCCCGCTCAAGCAAATTGATGAACAACGGGAGGACAGTGCTACAGTGCCACTATAAATTGTAGTTATTAGTTATTAGTAGTTATTAGTTATTAGTAGTTATTTGGTGCTACTACTACTTTATGTCAAAACTGTATTGTTTAGAATATGAAACTGTATGTATTTTTAATTTGCAATATTATTTTCAAATCTACCCTGCCTTAATGTTTTTCGAATGATTTCACCATTATTGTGATTAATGTTATAATATAGAAATCATTAAAATTTATGGGCTGGAAAAATAGTCTGGGGTGAAAGCACTTGCCTTGCATGCAGTTGACCTCACTTTGATCTCCAGCACCACATCTGGTCTCTGAGCATTGCCAGTGTTGACTACTGATCAAAGTAAGCCCTGAACACTTCTAGGAATGCCCTCAAAACAAAATTATGCACTGAAGGGGCAAGAAAGATAACTCAGTGGGCTGAGTTGAAGCTTTGCATGCAGGTGGTCTGGATGTGATCACCAATATCAGATCCTTTCTCCCTTCCCCCAGGACTGATAGGCATGACCCTAAAACAAATAAAAAATATATAGCTAAGAAGCCTTTTGCAGTTGAGACATTTTTCCCCTGTGACTTAAGTTAAGTCTATGATTCAGCAGAATTAAAGTTGATAACCTAGAATACATCACTCTGTTATGGATTCTTGAACTGAATTCTGTCCATTTTCCAGATTAGTTGCTCTTGATGCATTCAACACAGTGTCACTGCTAAGTAACTGTTATTCTTCCTGGTGGGGTCAACTGAATTGAATCAACAGTAACTCAATTTTATTTCCACTGCTGTGGCTATCAGTGCTATGCTGCAGGTGACTGGAGATTCATAATTGCTGTGATAGGAACATTTTGCTATTTTCCTACACAAATTCAGTCATTGCTCTTAAAGTTGTTATGAAAACTATAAAGCATTCATTTGATCAACATAATTAAGCCAATTTTCTCAGAAAGCTTTTGTATAATTGAACACATGCTGTATCAGTTTTAATTTTTTTCTAGGGTAGGTTTGCATGGAATATCATTTAATTTGGAGGAGAAGCAAGCATTATATTATCTTTTGACAAATTAATAACCTGAGAAAAGTCAGTTACAATGCTTGCAAATATCCTATAATTTTGATCAAACTGTTGGTAAGTAATGAGGGTTTTCTGTTTGTTCAGTTCTATCATATTAATACAATATATGATGGAGTTAATAGACAAAGATTTCCCAAATAACTAAGACTAAGTCTAATGGAGCTATTAATTTTAGCATTACTCCTCTTTTCTGTTCTATCTTCTTTCTATTCCTTTTATGTGAGTGTGGGTAAGAGTGGCTGTCCTTGAGTCACAGTTTTACTCTCTATTAACTGTGCTCTTAATCTCTAAATACCTTTGTGCCATCATTTCTCATGTGTGGAAAATTCCTGAGGAACTCTCACAGAATTCAACACAAAGAATCAATGAGGTCAGAGAGGCAGAGTATCGCCCCTGAGCAGGCCAC